AGCTGCCCTGCTTGGGCTGCTGAGAGCTCGCGTGTGCCTTTCGGGTCCCGCAAGGGTTTCTGCAGGCACAATGAGTTTTGCATGTTTTATGGGACTCTTGGTTTACTCTCACCTTGTGAATTTAAAACAGTGTTTAAGTATGATGTACTGGTGGTGAAGTGGTGATTAACCAGTAGTTGTTGTGGTTGTACTGTCTCAGGATCAGCATGTACGTTCATCTGCTGGTTTCTGCCTCAGCCTTGATAGCAGCTCAAAGTACTTGGATCCAACAGCTGAATTGTGGAGAAAAATATGGGAGCAATTTTGCATTGATATGGTATCATGTGTAGATTACTCTTGCATAATCTGAGTGATTACAAAACCTCCTGTACTTGATGAAGTTTTGCTTGCCTTACAATGCAATTTTAAGGCCTAACATATTTTTTATGTCCTTTTGTTCCTATTCACAACTGTAATTTGAATATCCTGTAGAGCTCTTTCAAAATGTCTTGATAGGCAAACGTCATGAAAATCAGTTACCTGAATCTTTTTTCTTTTTTTTTCCTCTTTAGATGACAATCAAAACAAAACCAGTGAAAAGAAAGAGAAAAAAATGGTTTCTCAGAAACCCCATGGTACCATAGAATATACTGTAAGTATTGGTGTGTGGCTTGTTTGTGTCTGCCCTTTGAAAGTGGAGGTTTTGAGGTTGAGAGGGAGCCAGGGACACAAAACTGAAAGCACTAAGTGAATACTGGCTGCAGTTGATACCTGCCTCAGTAGGGATTGCTCCAAATACCCTTCTGTGGGTAGAGCTAGGCTCACGTCCTGACCCGCTGTTCAGTCCAACTCCCCTGCTTCTCGTAGCTGCCAGTCCTATTTTTACTTCTGCACTGTAGCTTTTTAGTAGAGCAGTTGGTTTTGTTACTCTGAAAAATACATCCATCGCACAGCGTTGCTGAAGTCATCAAGCGGTTTGCCTGTGCTTGGTCCTGAGATGATGAGATCTCTTTCTCTAAGCTGGAGCAGAGCAGTGGTGTGCTGCCATGGCAGCTCAGGTGACTGCCTCTGCCCAGAAAGTCTCTGTGTGAGCCGACCAGGTCCCTGAATGGGGGCTGCACCCCACTCTCCATCACGGAGAGCAAATGTGAAAGGCAAATGTCCCAGCTGGGAACAAGCACAAATGCCTGGCATGCTGCAACTGCTGAAGGTGTAATGACTTCTCTGGTGTGTGTGCCTTCCCCACTTGCCAGACCTGTTCTAAATAAGGTGGCACTGCTTTATGGTTTTGTGAGAAAAGGAGAGAGAGACCTGTAAAACCTCTCTGGTTTATGTAGTGTATAGTACAAGAGAATGTGTTGATTTTATTTTCTTTTTATTGGTACTGGCTTATCACATAAGCTATTAAACAGAAGATGTGTTTTGAGATCATCAAATCTGTTCCCTGCATGCAGTCTTAAATGGTTTTAGTTCAGCTGGTGTGCTGAGTATGTTCACTGTGGTATCCTAAGCTTTGACTCTTTCTTCAGGCTGGAAATCAGGACACGATAAACAGCATAGCATTAAAGTTTAACATCACCCCAAACAAGCTTGTGGAGCTCAATAAGCTTTTCACACAGACGATTGTGCCAGGCCAGGTAAATATTTTGCTATATTTTTTATGCTTGAAACCTGATTATTTGCTGTTTTTAAAAGCTTTTTGCTACTTTCACATATCTTTTAGGTGCTTTGATACAAGGTTAATGGACAGTAATTTAGATGCCTCAAAGGGAAACTCACTAGATCATTACCTGGAATTGGATGGACAGCTTTGTAATTGCCATATCTGACCTTTGTTGTTTATTTGCTGTCACTAAAGCTTAAAGATGACTCTGAAGCTCAAGAGGATAATGTAGCTGTTGCGAGAGAGTTAAATTATTTGGAACCCTAGATAAATGCTCTGTGTAATACATAAAAGAATTAGAGAGTTGGATATAGTAATTGAAGTGGCTCTTTGCCATTATATTGGGAATAGTCAGTCTCCTGTAAGATGAGAAATAAATGGACGTAGACTGTTTTGGGGAGAGTCTAGTAGTGGAAATGTGAATGTGAAGGAAAACACCTGATTTGTGAAGAGCAGGTCTCTGCTTCACAGATGTGAAGAGATCGAAGTGTCCTGATTTGCACATGGACAAACTGACGAAAAAAGAGATAGAGTGACTTGCCTAAGAATAGCCAGCAGAGAAAAGCTGGCTTAAGGAAAATGGTTTTATTTTTCCATACATTCTTAATTTAAAACTAAACTGTGAACATTTTTTTTTAACTTTAGAAGTATCTTTATTTGCTCTGACAGTTGCAAGAAATTACTTTGTTTTCATTTGGGGTCCAAAGCTGTACTGCAATTTTAGTACTGCTGTACTAAAAATCTGGAATGTTCACTGTGAGGGAATATAAAAATTCAAACAAAACTTTGTATTTTTATATAGACTTGTGTTAGTGTAAGGTGTGGGGTTTTTTTCTTTTAAATGTAGTACATGATGCTAAAATGCTGATTCTTATAAAGAATATTTTAAGTTTGGAGATGCAAGTATATTTTTTGAAGAAGACATAATGTGATGAATTGATATAAACTTCTAGCACTAAAAATCCCCCATCTTCAGCAATGGTCTTCTCTTTGGACCAGAGTTACAGGTTAATGACTACTAGTGGTAATTTTGCAGTTACTTGTTTTGTATTTGCGATAGTTGCAAGACAGCCTGGGATCATAAATTTGGAGGAAAAGATCAAGTTCTCATTCTGTGAAAACGTTTTATTATCTTACCTGTGCTATAAAACAAAATGTAGAGCTAGATCCTGTAATGAATTGACCATGCACCCATCTATTCCCCTCTGTGAAGGAGGACTCTAGAATAAGTAGCTGTTAAGGAGTGCATTGCAATCATGAGTGATCAGCATTGGGTTGTCTTTCTAGTAGAATGTAGTATTTATAGTGAAGAACTTTTTAAAGCTTGTGTCTTACTATGTTGACATACGTGTTTATATTTAGATTCTCTTTGTGCCTGAAACAAGCACTGCCAGGCGATCTTCTTTCAGTCCTCGTGCTCCTGTTTCTCCTTCATCATCAGATGCTGAATACGATAAACTCCCTGTAAGTCCAACATTTGTTCCCTGGTCTTAAACTCACTAAATAATTTCTGACTCTGAGGCTAAGATTCAGGGCTGTGTAAGTAGCAGGTTTTCTGAGGTTACAGTTCAGACCTTGTGTGTAGTGTATTGAATAACAGTAATTTTAATGTACTACAAAATTTACCATTTCTTTAAAATATTGTAAATGAAGGGAATTCTATCTGAGTGTAGAAACCCAGAGCCCAGAGTCTGTCAAAGCAATTGAAAAGAATGTAGTGTATTATTTTTAAAGAATAGGAAGTTAAATATGAATAATTATTTAGTGTTTCACCCTGAAGATTTCTATGCTGCTCTGCAGCCCAGAGCCTTGATCCTGCATTGGGATCCTGGAGCAGGGAGGCTGTTAGTTGAGTCTGAGCAGTCGGTTTCTTTCTAGTTAAGCATATATGGACCTGTCTTGCGTAGGCAAGACTGCTGGATTTAATCTTTGTGAAAGGCTTTGGCATAGCTGATCTTTCATTTTTCTTAAAAGGGTGATTGGCAATGATGTCCACCTGCCGATATTAAAGCAACTGACATCTCAAATCCATAACTAATGAAAAGGAAAGTGGAGAGAAGCCTGGAGTGAAAAACCCCCTGTGTTTAACTGTAGTCTTGTCCTTAGTCCTACACCTCTGTGCCACCGGTGTGGGGAATCATACCAGTGTACTGTGTCCGAGGTCTTCCTTGTAGATGAGGTGGCAGCATTGATCCTCTCTTAACTTACCTTGGCGTTTTTTAATTTCTTGCCTGTTACATGTATGGAAGTTTTTTGTAATGTTACAAGGTGATTTTTTTCATAGAGGATGCTGTGGGAAGCCTTACATACATGACTGACACTTTTCTTCCTTAAGCAAATGTTGAACCCAGCCTTTTAGTTGCCTGGAATTTGAAAGGGTATGATTCTGGTCCTTTTGCTCTGCACTGAACTTTTTTCTTTTTTAAGGATGCTGATTTGGCAAGAAAGGCCTTCAAACCAGTTGAGAGAGTCCTGTCCTCCACTTCAGAAGAGGATGAGCCTGTGGTTGTCAAATTTTTAAAAATGAATTGTCGTTACTTCACAGATGGTAAGGTAGGTGGAACCTGGCTGTTGGGCATTGTTTGAGATTCTTGGAAAGCAAAATTTGTTTGGGTAAGTAAGAGATGAATAGTGGGGGAGTGAAATGGGCTCCACACTTGTAAAGAATGTAAATGTTATGATGACTTTATCTATCACTGCTGTGTTTGTTGGTACTGTGGTAATATGCTGTATTATTTTGTTCTTTCAGTTGTTTACTCTGCTAGGATAATTGCTTTATGAAAGAATGCTCTTCTACCCATCTTCATTCCCTTACGCTGTCTCACCAGAATTATATTTAAGAGTGTATTGCTGGTTACACAGGGAAAACTGCACTTTAGAGTTACGACGTGTCAGGATTAGTTGTCCAGTTCCATCAAATTGTGCAACAGTTTTATAAAATGACCACATGCGTATCTATTTCATTTATGACTTTAAGCTAAATTTTAACTGGTTTAGCAGTGTTTCCAAATGTATCCATGTTGCTTCTGCTGTTGCTAATAAAAAGATAACTATTGCATGATACAACTTTTTTTTTTTTTTTTTTTTTTTGCAAGCATTCTTGTAACATACTTGTTACCCCTGGGACTGCTATCCTAAATTTTACAGCAGTCATTCTAGAAGCAAAGGCACAAAGTTTGGGCAGTAGTTTAACCTTCTCTTCTCAAGATTGCAAGAAACTGTCTACTTTGATATGTCTGCCTTTGTTGCCTCTGCATCTTTCAGTTAGCTATCTGCGTGTTTAGGTTTTCAAGTTCTCTGGAATTTAACACTGGAGATGCTAACAATTGCAGTTTAAACATCTGTCCTGGTTTCAGCTGGGATAGAGTTAATTTTCTTCCTAGTAGCTGGTGCAGTGCTGTGTTTTGATTTAGTGTGAGAATAGTGTTGATAACACACTGATATTTTCATTGTCACAAAGTAGTGCTTACGATGAGTTTAGGGTTTTTCGGTTTCCCCTTGGAGCACAAGAAGCTGGGAGCAAGCATGGCCAGGAGAGCTGATCTGAACTAGCCAAAGGGATGTTCCAAACCACAGAGTGTCACGCTTAGTGTGTGAACTGGGAGGAGTTGGCCAGGAGGGGCAGATCACTGCTGGGGCATCAGTCAGCGGGTGGTGAGCAATTGCGTTGTGCATCACTTGTCTTTTCTTGAATTTTATTTCTCTCTCTCTCTTCCTTATAATCATTATTATTATAACTAATAGTTAACATGTTTTATTAAACTGTTCTTATCTCAAGACACAAGTTTTACTTTCTTTCTCTCTGGTTCTCTTCCACATCGCATTGTGGGGGGAGAAGTGAGCAAGCAGCTGCGTGATGCTTAGTCCACTGGCTGCTGTTAAACTATGACAACGTATTTTCCCTTTAATCCAGACTTTTATAAGATGGATGTGTTTACACCTACAATTTTTGGCTTCTTTTCATGTCGAGTGGATGTAGCCTGTATTTAACTACTCTGCAGTTTTCAGCCTGCTGTTTTGTAGGAAGTAATATAGAGCTACTTGGTGTCTCACATGTAAATTAGGGCACTACTGTCACTTTGTTATGTGATGCTTGCTAGGTGCAGGGGATACAGATTGCCAATTTTACGGGTGTGGGACTGAAAAAGTAATTTGCAGTCAGAACAATCAAGAGTGGGACAGCTTCTTTGCCAATGTAGTTAAAATGCCTTGTTGCCTTGCTTCTTGCAGTGGTTGGGTAGAAAGTACAGCCTACTAATGTATTGCTGCTCCTGCTAACTAGTTACATACCTGTGGGAGAAGCTGCTGTGCTTAATCTTCATTCTTTCATCCAAACACAAGAGACATGTGCATGTGAGTCATACAGGAGAAGAAAACGGGAAATACATGCAGGCTTGGCTTTACAAAGGAGCAGGCACACATGTACTCACTTGCCAGTGCCAAGCCATCAGCTTGACATCTCCCTGATTTAGAAAAAAAAGAACACAACAAAACCAAAACAACAAGTCAAGCTTTTGTAATCCTTTACGTGCCTATTCATTAACCTCTGGTGGCTTGCTTTGCAGATGACCTTGGATAATTTATAGCATCTACAGTGTAGGTGGTTCCTGGTGATTGGTGGTATCAGTTGTCATGATCTACACACAGCTTCTCAGTTGGTCTGGTGAAGTTTGTAGCTCATCTGAAAGAAAGTTTGCAGAAACAAGACACTGGAAATCTTGTAAACCTTGAAAAACGATCAGTTGCCGTGGGTTGGATCAAATCCATGGCTTGAGCACATTTTGAAGGATTAAGTGTCTTACACGGCTGTGCAAAATATTCTTAGAGCAGTGGGAGAAGCTGAGTCTAGGTCGAGGAGAAGCTGTTTCATTTCAGTTCCATATATATAGAAATTTTTTGCATGTAGCTCTGGGAAAGTAAATCAGGGGAACCTGTAATGTAACTTAGCATAGTGATGTTGACATTTGTGTGAGGTAAATGTTGACATTTTGTGTGAGGTGTACTAATTGCATAAAAATTCATGTACCAAATGAAGGTGGGTGCATCTAGAATAAAATGTTACCTTTTTTTAATCCACTAATCCATTTTGTCTGAGATTGTTAATCAATCTGCAGTTTTAGCTTGTAGGAGCCAACACTGAAAGTTGCATTGTTTGGATGTTCTTCTTTGTCAGCTGGGAGTTTACATGTTTCTAAGAATTTTTTTTTTTCTTTGCTTTCCTTACAATGTCTGACTTAGTGGAAGTGGAAACCAAAATGTTTTGCTTTCAAACATTGCATGATGGGACATAAAGAGGCAGGAGAGATTTTTTTTTTTCTTTTTAGTAGCCTAAAATCCAGTGCCACATAATAAGTGAATTACATGTGATGTGCTAACTCTTCCTTCTCCTGTTTCAGGGTGTAGTTGGAGGAGTCATGATAGTAACACCGAACAATATCATGTTTGACCCACACAAATCTGATCCTCTGGTAATTGAGAATGGCTGTGAAGAATATGGGCTCATCTGCCCCATGGAGGAAGTTGTCTCAATAGCACTCTACAATGACATTTCTCACATGAAGATTAAGGATGCGTTGCCATCGTAAGGAGTGTTCTTCCCTGAACTTATGTTTACAGATTTTCAGTAAGGGTCATGCAAAAGGAGTGGGGACAGAATGGAGGAGAAGAGTTTTAATGCAGCAGAATAAAACAAATTGTGGGAGGAATGGGACAGCAAAGGAATGATTCACTTGTGTTACTCTTCTACTTTCTTTTTAGAACACTTTAGTGGCATTTAAGTAAAATGGGTCATGAACATGAGAAGCAAAGTGCAAAGGAGACCAGTAAAACCCAGTAATTGAAAGCATGGTGCCATGCCATGGTGGGGCTGTTGCACTGACATATCTCTAGGGCTATTTCAGTGCAAGCAAAGAGGGTTAGATTTGAACCATTTGTTATGTTACGAGGAGTGTTCTGAGAACAGGATTTAAAGCTTTTGAAGATAACAGAACCTTAACTGCAAGGACTCAATCTCCAGGACTTACACGAATGCCAGTCTATGGAATACTTCCACTTCAGATCCAGAACTGCACCGACAGTTATCATATATAATACATAATAAACTTCCTGGGCTGGGCTACTTTGACTTACGCATAGTCTAGGCGCTGCTTACATGTTTCAAAGCAAGGTGTTTTCCTTACAGGCGACATCTGTTTGATCAGTGAAATTCATCTACTTCCCTCCATTTTCTCATTTCAGGAAAAAATTTCCAGATATGTTACCCTCATTACTAGAGTGTTTAGTAACTAATTGGAAGCTTTTAAGTGATAAGAATCATGTCTTGTCATTCACCTTGGGCTTTTCAGCAGCAACAAAAAACTCAGTTGTATGCTGTTAAATTTTTAATAATATTCCATTTTGAAATGTTCTATGATTTTCCTTTAAAAAGAAACCTTTAGGAAGTCTGCATTTAAACAGTGCATTTAACTAAAGGAGAAAAATAAACTGAAAACCATGCAGCTCTGTTGTCTGTTACCATTTTGCAGTAAACATGTTCAAACAGAGTAGACTCAGTCACGTGTGGGAAATAATAACGTTAGTATGGTATGAATGAAATTCCAGCAGCTAAATACATGTCCTGTTGACTGAATCATCTGATGACTTGCACATTTTTATTACATATGTACCATTTCTTCATCCATGTGGCATATTCTGCCAGGTGGTTTACTCATTTTATTTCGGTATTATCCTTTCCACGTTTTTCCTCCATTTTTAAAATCACTTATTTCCACTGATGTATGTTTATTTTTGAGAAATTAGTTTTTCGTTGAGTTTCAGAATTTAAGTTGGTATATTTTTCTTTTCAGTTTTTCCTTTTTATTTCTGTTTCCATTTTGCTTTTAACATCCTATGTACATCCATCATTTTCCCTGACAGTGACATACCAAAGGATCTTTGTCCTCTGTACAGGCCAGGAGAATGGGAAGACCTGTCCTCTGAGAAAGATATCAATCCCTTCAGCAAATTCAAATCCCTTAGCAAGGAAAAGAGGCAGCAGAATGGGAGTCCATCCATTGCTCTGGGTGCCAAACAGACAAAGCCTTCTGATGAGGAAAAGCCTGCTGATTTTGAAGTTCTTCAGTCGTCTGAGAGTACAGGCTCAATCAAGTCAAAGTCACTGGAGTTTCCCAACAACATCACTGCCACCGAACACTTGGAGAAATTTGCTGTGGATCCGTGTGCCACGGAGCCTTCTGCAGAAAAAAATGCTTCAGATATCAAAACCAAAGAAAAATCCGTTTTGAGAGAAGGAGAAGATGGCTTCACTGAGCTGGAAAAGATGCCATCTCGTATGGATAGGGGGTTGGACAGGAAAATCTCAGTAATGGAAGGCTTGTTGGCTGACCCCAAGGAGTTGGGGAGAACTAAGCAGCAGGTAACCAAACACACTACAGAAGTCCAGGAGCACTTGACAGTTGATTCCTTGGAAAAAAAGGACAGTGTTGAACCTAAAGCTGACTTAGACTTAGAGCTGTGTGAAAAGCAAGATATTATTCCAGAAGTAAACAAATGTGTCAGTTCCCCGACAGGTAAGGTGGAGACTGCATTGGACACTAAGAAAGAGCTAGAGAAAGATAAACTTATTGAATTTTACCTCAGTAAAGATGGGAATGGGTCTCAGTCATCTGAAGACTTGCACAAGGCTGAAATCCAGAAAGGTGAAAACAATAAAGCAGTTGGCATAGACCTTACACTTAGCTGTTCAAAGTCCCAAGCTAATGAAGTCCATACAATTAAAAGTATGGAGCTTGATTCAAAGGCACCTTCATTAGAAATCAGCTCAGCAGCAGCAGAGGAAAAGAATCTGAAAGAGTCTGTGGACTCTTCATTAGTACCAGCTATAGACAAGACCTGTCAAGACACACAGTTAGACAATCAATCAGAAATCAGACTGTGGCTGCTGCAGAAAATTCAAGTGCCAATTGAAGGTAGGTCTCTGGTTATCCTTATTTCCTCTGAGACTTGGACAGCATTATGACGGTAACCTTTGAATTTATAGCCTTCTGCTCTAAATTACCTCTGTTTGTAGTACCTGATCTCTTGTTTTACTCTTGTGTATTACATTTTTATATTATCTGCTATTTAGGAGGAAAAAAACCAACAACTTCAAATTCTCTAAGCTTCTGGTTCGATAAGTAGCTTATGTTGTCTTTTCATATTCAATGATCACTGTTTATGTAATCTTCACCTCTGTTTACTGGCTTTAAGAAGGACGTTGAAATGTCATCCAGTTGCAGTATTGACAGGGACACTCCATGGCCTAGGAATTATCACTCTCTATTGGTAATTTCTGTTGCTTCTGTGAAGTCTGACAGTGTATTTCTGATAGTACCCAAAGTAGTAGTATGTTGCTCTAAAGGGGGATACCAAAGTATTCTTGACACTATTTGCATTTGCCTGATGTCTTTCATTCTATGGATACCCTTAAAGAAGCAATAAATAGCAGTATGTGTAGAGTCTTACTGACTGCTCTTTTTGTCCTGATTGGTCATTGGCTTATCAAAGATAAAATCCAAACTGTTACTGGAAAGCATATAACAAAGTGAAATCTCAGTTTAAATAGTGTGTACACATACTACTATTTCTGCTACAGTCCAGGCCCTCTAAGCCCTAATCTGTCCTGGAGTTCAGCTCCTTTTTTGATACCTTAATGAACCAGTGGACATATCCTTGATTCATATCAAGTGGTGGGGGACGATCAGAGTGGAAGTCTTTATTTTAAAAACACTTGGCCTAAAAATTATTTTTCATTTCATTTGGAAGAGTTTATGTCTCACTTAATTGTATTTGGTGGTTGTTCTCAGTGGGGGAGGGGAAAAAAAAAAGACTATATGTGTACTCCTAAGATGAATGAGGCAACTTCAGTGTGATTGAGTTTATTAAGCAACTTTTTTGTCAGGCTATTTAAGGAACTTTCACTGTTCTTATGCTTGACCTTGCATTGTGCAGACAAAAGGTGTTTGTTTGGTGGCTGCCCGACTGTCAGAGTTGAGGAACTGATGGGACTTTGTGTGTGTGCGGGGTTACCCTGCAACTGGATGAGTTTTCTGGATCCAGTCAGACACTGTCCCCTTTACTCGTCTGCTTTGTGTTGCAGTTTGCTCCCACCCTGTTGCTTTACGGGGCTGTTCTGTACACAGCTGTGCAGCTGAAGTGAGTACAGACTGTGATGAAATGGAAATAAATGGCCACAGTTTAGGATGAACAAGGATTTATTAAACCAGTTCTCCTATTGAATTACATGTCAGGTTTAATTCTGTTTAAGGTGCCTCTGAGTATTCCTTTGCACAGGATTATTAACCTTCGTGACAATGTTGTATGAGCTGCAGTATTTTTGCTTTCCTGTAAACAACCCGTTTCTTTTGTCTCTTGTTCAGATATGCTTCCTTCAAAGGAGGAGAAGAGCAAGACTCCTCCAATGTTTCTGTGCATTAAAGTAGGCAAGCCCATGAGAAAGTCCTTTGCATCTCAAAGCACCACCATGTCTCAACAGTACAGTAAAAAGATAAAGCAACCAGAGTACTGGTTTGCTGTTCCTCGGGAAAGGTAAGCTGCAGTGCACACCAGGACAACATGTTTCTCTTGTGCCAGGGGCTGGAGCACCTCTGCTATGAGGACAGGCTGCGGGAGCTGGGACTGTTCAGTCTGGAAAAAAAGAAGACTTCGGGGGGGACCTAATAGCTGCCTTCCAATACCTGAAGGGAACCTACAGGAAGGCTGGGGAGGAACTTTTTACAAGAGTGTCCACTGATCGGACAAGGGGAAATGGGTTCAAGTTGAAGGAGAACAGATTTAAATTAGATCTTAAGAAGAAATTCTTCAGTATGAGGGCGGCAAGACTTTGGAATAAATTGCCCAGAGACATTGTGGCTGCCCCCTCCCTGGAGGGGTTCAAGGCGAAGTTGGACAGAGCCTTGAGTAGCCTGGTCTAGTCGAGAGGCGTCCCTGCCCATGACAGGGAGGTTGAACTAGATAATCTCTAAGGTCCCTTCCAGCCTAGGCCATTCTATGATTTCTGGAGTCGAATGTGACTTTCCCCACGGAGTCCAAGGTGTGGAATGCAGCAAGGAAGCTAAGAGGAGAAGAGAGGTTCCCTCATTTCATTGCGTGCCAGTTTGTTGCTGGTCTTGTGTGCCTCCCAGGGGGAAAGAAGAAGGGATCAGGTGCCACTTAGAGGATGAAAAGAGGGGTTGGATGTATGTGCAGCTGAGATACTTTCAGCCATAGTCTAGGAAGTGAGAGGAAGGGGGAGAGGCAAGGAACCTACCAAGATGCCTCTGCTAAAAAAGAGGTATTTCACATGAGCAAAGAGAATGATGTGGCAAAAAGGAGATTCTCCTGACTGAATGGGTGTAGCTATTTCAGCCTTCAGGCCCTTGAAAAGAGTCACATCCTTCCTGGTAAAATCCATTTAAATTTCTTATGTGCCTGTAGGTGTGCATGTATATATAAAATAGTACTATAGCAAAAAAAAAAAATTAAAAGAGTGAAGGCTTGTGATTTTGTATATAAATCACCCAAGATTTTCCCTGGCTGTGAGGACTCAGATACCTCGTCCTTCTTTTGCTAGAAAGCAGCTAGAGCAACTCTAGTCTGTTGGTGGAAAATAGGGAAATCAGTGATTGTGCTTCTGGTGAATTAGATAGCAGGAAGGAAGAATCTAAACTAATGATCAGTCTCAGAGATGTCTCTTTAAGATGAAGGCAATTTTTTTTTCTTTAATAGCTTTTCAAAATAGGTGTTTCCTTTTCAGATTTGTAGCATGAGTGTTGATTTAAGTGTTCGTTTCTTGTATTTTAGAAATTAGTGTTTTGAGCAGACCAGTTGTGTGGAAGTTGTTGGCTGGAGGGAGGAGGGGGAGAGGTTTAATCCAGCTGGAATGTGATCATCAGAAGTGCAGCTGAAGATAGCTTTTGGTTTGCTTGCTATCTGCTGAACACAGTCCTTGGCTCGTCAGGGATTGTAAAAGGGTGGATTCAGAAAATTCTAGGTTGAAGCAAGAGTAAATATACTTGAAGGAGTTGGAGTGATGCTGTAGTATAACACAAGGTCAGTTACTGCATTGGGGATAGCATATCTAATGTTAATAAAGCTGCCGAGCTGAACCGAGGTCGTGTGATTGTTGCTCTGTGCAACAGGTAAATCTGTTAAGCTTCTTGCTCATAAAATTCTTTCAAACGTGGAAAACAGCTTCTCTACTTGCCATTTTCTGAATTGTGAGGGGGCCTGACCCACATGTGAGCTGAAGTGTTGACAACCGGTTTATACTTCAATTTTTGTAATGAGGAAAAAGTACTTTCTGCTGTGAGCTGTTGCAGCAACACTTAGCTGTGCTGGCTCACAGACCAGGTCTTTGCTGTTGGGGCTACTGTTCAGATCTTAATCAAAACTAGTGGTGAATGTAGTAGAAAATTGACTCATTCTGGTGCAATTCATGCATGCCTGTTTAAACACTGCAGAGGTGCATAAAAGATTTTGTAGAACTTGGGGCAAAAATTAAATGCGAGACTCACTCCTTCGTATTAATGGTAAGACATGTTTTCTGCCTAACAAGGCAGTGTTTTCTCCAAGCTCTCAGATGCCTTCCCAAGGTAAGATGCAGCTCTTCTTACCCTCTGGTGATACTCTTGCACGATTGCATAGTATAGAATTACCAGTGTTGCATCTTAAGAGTGCCTTGGAGAGTAGATCATTTGGAATAACTTTGCAATATATCAAAATAATTTACAAAGTTGAAAAATATTTGGAATGCAGCTTATAATCACGTATGAAAATATCAAAAATACCACTCTCAGAGCCATAAAGCAGCATAAATGAAACACTTTCTGTCCAGTGCAGTCACAGTAGCTTGTGCAGCATCTTAGCCTTTCTCAGTAATTAAAAACAAAACCAAACCAAACCTGGATTGGCATAGGGAGGGAATTAGTGTGCATGTCTGTAATCACCGTGTAATTGAAATCTTACTCTGACTTGCATTTAATTACATTTTTTCATGGTTTCTTAGTGTTTGTTTTTAAAACAGCTTTTGTCATCAGTTGTGAAAATGGCTGCAATTTCAGCCTGGGCCTCGTAGCCCGACACTCCCAGCTGAGCTGTTCTTCCATCTGCAGGCGGCTGCTGCCGCTGTCCTGGCCCTGGCAGGCTGCAGGAAAGCTGCACTGAGGGGAAGATATACTTATCCTTTAAATTTTTCATTTTTTAAATTTTGTTTTATTAAGTGAAAGCCTCTGGAAACATGATTAATACAGAGAGACTGTTAGGCTGGTGTTCTTTTATAAAGACCTCTGATAAGTCTTAAGCCTCGTTTGCCTTTTGTGGCTGTTGTAGGTCTTCTCTCTTCCTATGTGGCTTCATGGGTGCTGAGAGTGTCGCAGCGCCTGTTGCCCTGTGACCTGTGGCTGAGTTAATCAGTGACTGCAGGGCTGCTTTGTGCTGCCTGGTTGACAGCAGCGGTGCTTGCCGTAGCACGTAACGGGGAGACAGGCATCTTGAGTTGACCTATATAGGGATTACTCAGTCTAGGGCAACTTCTTGTCGAGTTCAGCAGAGCAGAGAGGCACCCATACTTTTGGATGCTGAGAGAGATTGATTCTTTGGCTGAGAAGTCTTGCAATGGGTATAGCTTACAGCATTAGAGGGTAAGTCTGTGTGTGCTCTTACGATACGGATTTATATTTAAAAGGTACTTAGATGTTCCACCCTGGTGGATTTTGAGTAGTACTAGTAGGTCAGTCACAGATTTCCTCAAGGTCTTGCAGAGAAAAATGCCTTGCACTGAGACAAATACAGAAACGCGGAATTTCTTTGCTTACATGCTTGTGTCCTAACAAATAATTTACTCATTTTAGCATTGGCTAGTTCGTCAGTCAAGAAGTAAGTCTCATTGATTATCTATAAGTTTTTCGGGCAGATTTAGTTTATGAATGTATAATTTGCATTGCTGTTGATGTAAAAGACATTGCACTGAGATCATGCTGCTGAGAAGGCAGCTACTTTTTTTGAACTTTCTTTTCTGAGAGCAGACAGATTTACAAGGAGGAACAGTAACAGGGGTTGAGCCGTGGTTTTCTTCATCAGTCTCAGCTTCCTGCCCCATTGATTTTTTTGGTTTGGGGAGCTGGGTGAGTTTTGGCTTGGTTTTTGTGGCAGTTTCTGTGGGGTTTCCTCTTGTAGAGCAAGATGTGGCTTGGTTGTGACTCCTGTTAGTATCTGGTATGTAATACCCCATAGTTAATATGAAGTTGGCATCTGGTTGAAGCTGGCATCGGGAAGAACTTGCAGCACAACTAGCTGGAGACAATGATTAAGAAGGCTCTGATGCTGAAGGATTGCTTCCATGCTCTCATTAATGGAAGGGTGCCAGTGGGAGCTTTGAATTGGATATTATGAAAAATTTCCTCACAGAAAGGGTTGTTAAGCACTGGAACAGCCTACCCAGGGAAGCGGTAGAGTCACCAACCCTGGCGGTATTTACAAGATGTGTCGATGTGGTGTGCTTAGTGACGTGGTTTAGTGGTGAACCTGGCAGTGTTAAGTTTACAGTTGGACTCAATGATCTTAAAGCACTTTTCCAACCTGTATGATTCTATGATTTATGGTTCCCCCCTCCAGAATCAATTGTAATTTGACAAGTTGTCTTGTGTGTTTTATTGATAGTTGCTTTTACTCTTTTTCTCAGTGCACTGTAAACCTACTTTATTTTTTCTGGCTTCTGGTCCCTCGTTGTGGTTGTATCTATATTGCTGGGATTCAGTTCTTCTTCATGTAGGCTATCACTGAGTATCGCTCATGTAAAATGAATAACTCTTTTGCCTCTTGCTCTACGGCAATTGCTTTTGCGTCTCTAAGCTGCAACACTTGAGCATAACTTGGCAATTGTGCACCAGAGGTGGGCAGAGTATTCCAGCAGCAGTTACCAAAGTGTCAAAACACCAAACCAAACACAGTCTTACTCCTTCTGCTCAGAATCACAGAATGTCAGGGGTTGGAAGGGACCTCAAAAGATCATCTAGTCCAGCCCCCTGCCAGAGCAGGATCACCTACAGTAGGTCACACAGGAACGCGTCCAGGCAGGTTTTGAATCTTTCCAGAGAAAGAGACTCCACAACCTCCCTGGGCAGCCTGTGCCAGTGCTCTGTCAACCTCACAGGGAAAAATTTTTTTCTAATATTTTTGTGGAACCTCCTATGTTCCAGCTTGTACCCATTGCCCCTTGTCCTGTCATTGGGCATCAGTGAAAAGAGCCTGACTCTGTCCTCCTGACACTCCCCCTTGACGTATTTATAAACATTTATGAGGTCACCCCTCAGCCTCCTCTTCTCCAAGCTAAAGAGACCCAGCTCCTTCAGCCTTTCCTCATAAGGGAGATGTTCCACTCCCTTCATCATCTCTGTGGCTCTGTGCTGGACTCTCTCAAGCAGTTCCCTGTCTCTCTTGAGCTGAGGGGCCCAGAACTGGACACAATACTCCAGATGTGGCCTCACCAGGGGCAGAGTAGAGGGGGAGGAGGACCTCTCTCGACTTAATCTTACTTTCATGGTAGGTTCAACG